AAAAAAAAAAGGTTATTAATTATATGCCTTTGTTTCTATTTTACACAAAACAATACATTAGACTGCTACATAGATGACTGCTAAATTTAGAGAAAAAAATCTAAACTTTTTTCTAACAGTAAAAAATGTATTATATTCTAACTAACAGGCTCTACAAAATGCTTTAAGGCCCTAATGGTCTACTGACTTTGAGTAGTGTTAAGCAAATAATGTCAGCCATGTAAATGTGCTAAGTTACATGTTGAGAAGTGATTGTACCTGTGCAGTCGGTCCATATGTCTGAGCAGGAGGTGCTGTGTATGAGCCATACCTGCGTAAAAAATAAACATTTTATTTTAACAATTCATACCCAAGCACTATGTTTAGAGTTTAGTAATCAATCGAGGTGGACTTACGACTGCTGTGCTCCAGCTTGGTTGTAGCTGCTATAATCTACGGTGAAATAAATCATTACAAAAGTTAGACGACCTGCAAACTGCTGACTGGACATTCAGGGTTTATTATGGTCCAATAACGACGCAGGACTTGGGCAAACACAACAACAGACAAAGAAGAGCAGTCTCTTTTGAATTCCAGCCATTCGGTTGGAACAAACCTTGCATCAACAAGACAGATTTGGCTATTAAAGCATTGAAACTATTTCAGGACACACGAGTTCAGAACAATGAGTGACCACGCTTACGTTAGGGTTCAGCTAACACATTAAACAGTGCAAACTTTAAAGTTTTACTCGTTTCTGGGTTTCGGCAAAAATCAAAGAAAAACAAGAAACCCTATTAGTAAATGATATCATGACTTACAAAAAAAAAAAACCTGACAACCTGCCAATAAAAAAAAAACTGAGCAGAATTAAATGCATTGAAAAAATGTGACCATTTTCAGGATTACCCTGGACCACAATTGATTCTCAGAATGAAATGGAAATGTCAAATGTAGAATTAAAAAAGACGCTTTTTCAAAGGACACGTCAACTTTTGAAGAAATCCAAATATATACACACCAAATATAAACCACCAGAACACAGTTGTAGTTTTTTTTTTTAAAAAGTGGCAAAAGTGGCACACCAAATGAAAGGTTTTAAGGACACATAGGCGTGAATAGCCTCTATATTAAATGTCGAGTGGACTAACCAATGGATAACGCTTTAGAAACTTACCACCAGGCTTATTGAAGCCCCCTCTGTCTCCAGCGATGCTAAACATGAAGATATGAAGGCGATATTCCATTTAGTCTCCAACCATAGGACTTGAGTAGGAAATGAACACAAAATCCCCTCTCTAACTATGCAAAGGTCTCATGTAATATTTCACAATATTTTGTTAATTACTGGAACAGCTTTATGATTTCTATACATTCTTCAGTTGCAAAATTTAACATATTGTAGGCACCAACCAATCTTTTAAGGATAATATGATCTGTGACTTGTTCGTTTCTATACATTCTTCAGTTGCAAAAATTAACATATAAACAACAACACAGGACCAGAAAGACATTGACTTGCTGTAAACCTTTTGCAAAGTGGGAAAAATTATGAAGTTAGCGTAATGCCTTATTCTTTTGGGTTACAACCAAACAGAAAATACGGCAATCTTGTGGCAAAAAAATCTTTAGCAATCTGAACCCAAATTAACCCAATAAAAAGGTCAGCATTGAACAAAACAGTACATTCAAAAATACTGAGCACAAATTAACATTTACAAAGGGTGATCCAAGGAGAAAAAAAAATACATTTCACAAATATGCTGACTAAAACAAAATGTTCCAAAACAGTAGGTAAATTCAACAACAACAAAAAAAATCCCTAAATCAAAAACGTTCCCCATGGTTCGAGTTGTTGCCTTTGAAAAAAGGTACTTAAGAATAAGTACTGCTGTTCTTCGATCTTTGATACCTGCAGCATATAAATGTGACAATGTTAAAAACAAGACCTTTGAAATAAGAAACAGTTCACAAGTGCAAAAATATTTAAGAACATGAAAATGTATCAATTTTAATATAAAAATTGTGTAAAATGGCATGCTCACCGTCCCCTGAAATAAAATTCAATAGGAACACAATTTTGGTGAACACATCTTATTTCGTTTACAAACAATGATTAGTTTTATGGGTTAATAAAAAGCACCTACTGGGAAGCACTTAAAAAGTTGCTTTCACAAAATAAAATTCTTACCTCGTTAAAGAAAGTACATCACTGTGTCCGTTAAATATCCAAGGATTGTCTTCAAGGTTACTCCAACCATTTCTTTAAATGCCTTTTAAACTGAACCAACTGTACAACTTGCACTGACCCTCTTAAAACCTGATCATGATCCGCATACTCTTAATACAACAATTTCCTTTTAAATATAAAACCCAGCAAGGATAAAACTTCAAAACCCAGAATTGTGCCACCATCTGCCAAAGAAAAAATTTCAGGGAAAACTACCAAATTCTCAGTTGTCTTCATGTGTTTGCCAAGTTTTCCTTTACCCACAAAGACCTAAAAGCAGTACTGTACAAAGCCTTAAACAGTCAAACCAAAGGGTTCTG